TATTTTAGAACATTTTCATCGAATATATTAATCAATTTTTGTATGTATTCTTATTGATCACTTTATTGATTAATTGTGTTCTTCATCAAACGTCAGTCATGTGTAATAAATTGTGCATTTCTTCATTTTTTTTTGTATATTTTAGTCACGTCTAACGTACATTTATATAAATGTAGGTCAAGGTAAATCTTATATATATATATATATATATATGGTTATTGTATCTATCATCAGTATATTTTAATATCTTTGAAAATAATTACAACAACATCAACGCACAGTGATAAAATAACAAAAAAAATTATTTTTGAAGGAATAATTTAATCACTTGATGACTGACAAAAAAATGAATTTGATTGTGTTTCATGAAAATATTCATAGTTCTAATTTTTTCTTAGTTATCGCATTGTATAGATGAAGATGTCAATGTTGATATGAATCTAAATAATAACGAGTAATTCTCTGTACACTCTCCACCTCTATTCTTATTCTACGACACGTACATCTTCATCTTCAAGATACGATAGACTATGTCAGTCACTAATCAATATTAGTTAGTTTGTGCAAATTGATAATAGTTTCACGTCTACATTGAAAATGATGATCGTTCTCACTTTTCACTACTATTGAATCTGTTCCGAGTAGTGCTGTTTTAATAGGATAACCATATTTATAAATTAATGTCGATTGAATTGTACCATTTGTTGAAATATGAGTTAATCGTCGATCAGCTGTATCAGTGACTAACCAACCATTGATATTGAGAGACGAAATAGAATTATAAGCAAAGATGCCACTACCAAATTCCATTGGAATCGACCATAATATATCTAATTTTCCTGCTGTTGAACGAACTTCGAAACGAGCTCGAAATTTAAAGGAATTTACTCCCGGTACACGTCTGAAAACAATTAAACCAAGCATATCTGAATTACAAGCCATAGAATGAATTGATTCATTTTTGGCGCAGACTAAAAAGCGAGAGAGTTCAAAATTTGTTAATTTGTATTGATATAAAACGCAAGGTCCTTGTTCTTTTTTCAATAAATAAAGATGCATATTTGAACAAGCAGTTTTACAGAATTCTCCAGCAATTATTTTTTCAACTCGCATCTTATGTATACAAAGACTATATACACCACGCATTTTTCCTACATCGGTAAGTAAAATGAATTTTTCTAACAATCCAGCATAACATATTTCTGTAACATATCCATATTCCCATTTCATTTGTTGTTCAGCTCGTAGTTCATGATCGAAAAGATATAATAAATTATCTGTATGCAATAATAAATATTGTTCATCTTTACTGGATGCCATTCCATCATATGAAAATTCTTTATGAAGATATTTTGACGAATGAGGTTCTGATAATTTACCTAAATCAAAGGGTATCATTCTTGGAAGCATCCAATCAATTTGAATAACATCTTTTTCAATGACTAACGGACGAAGTTTAACTAAAGTTTCAACTAATTCTTGTTTAATAATTTGTTTTTGAATTCCTTCAACTTTTTCCGTAATCCAAACGATATCATCTTTCGTTACATCATGATTTCCAACAAATTCGGCTACTAATGCATGCAAACGTTGAATAGTATCTTGTTGATTATCCAATGTTTCATTAACAAATTCCTTCAAACGTCGACAGGCAAACATATAATAGTTGTGAACTACACGAATTGCGTCTTTCTTCCATAATAATAATTTTTCAAGATCCTTTTTCATAACTGATGAATCTTTTAACTGCCATACTTTATCAGAGAGACAAACAATTTCATCTAAGATAGGTGTGATCTGTTCATTTAAAATATCCACATGTTCTTTTAAATGTACAATACATAAATCTTGTGAACAACAATGGCATAATGCTCGAGATGCACGATTACATTCCTCTATATCGCAAGGTCTAATATACGTTGCTGGAAAGGTCGCTGTTGCCATGTAACTTGATACAAATAAATGTTATATATGTATGAGTTGTTTCGAGTACGTGTGTTCTATAGAAAAAAAAGATAAAATATAAAATTACATCTCGATAAAGACAAGAAAAAATTTCTCATGTTCATTTATTCTTGTCGTTCTAGTATAAAGTGAAATAAAAAATCATTCGATTTCTTTTGATATCAAAGATAGAAGAATGACAAGGTGATGTGTACTCAATAAAAGAGCACCATATTGATATCTATTATATATCGACGTGTCATTGTTGTGCAAAAAAAAATAGTAAATTGAGTGTGTGTACATCATTTTATAAAGCTTGACAAAAGATGACATTTCTTGGTTAGAAGGTACAAATAAGCGTTACAAAGTTAACAATGTCTTCGGTTAGTGAAGGAGAAGAGAATGATTATAAAACAGCTGTATACTATATAATGTTGAACTATTCAAAAAAAAGAAAACATATTCAATTGCGAGACATGAAGTGATATAATATCATCGAGGGGTAATTTATATTGCTCGTTTAGTTCATACAGTATACATTTTGTACGTATCAAGAATATTTAAAACACACATATAACAACTGAATATCTTTTCAAATCTTGTTAGTTTATCGGAAGGGTGTGGGTGTAAGTATTGTCATTATGTTACATCTACACTCACGCCCAGATGATATAAATGGCAAGGACATAACTCATTTGTTTAGTTTTCATTTACATATTAATTTAATAAAAAAAAATATGTTCATTCATACTGGTTATTATGTCACAAATATCAGAATCCATAATTCTCATACTTTTCAGAGTCAATTATTAAAATTTTCTGTGTTTTTGTATCATATCATCAACCTAAATGAATAATGTAATATCTTTATATATTTTTTTCAAGGACGTTTTCGTATGTATTTAAAAGATAAAAAAAATGCGCTATCAGAAATACGACATCATTATTCTTTACTAACTGCGATGATGGGAGAGAGAGAAAAAAAACGTCGTTTATTCTTATCAATATTAAATGAATCAGTTTATTTATCGTTGATATTTTGTAATTTGATAAACATTATAAAAAAAAGGAGTTTATATACGCATTTATTTATCAAAACGTTATTTCAAATAAATTTCAAATAAGACAAAGATGAAAAATTTTATATTTCTTGTTTCTATTATTTTTACTTTAATTGGTAAGAAATAAATATTAAAAAAAAATAAATAATTTTAATACTAAAATTTTTCAGGTTTGATTGATCTTCAAAGTCAAAGTACATCAAAAACAACTCCACGTCCAACGACAACTGCAAGAACAACTCCGAGAACAACACCACGTCCTGGGCCATCAACATGCTATGCATGTGCAAATTGCCCATTTCCATTTAAGAGAAACGGTCCTTATGCATCTTCCCCAAATGGATGGTGTTATGTATGTATTTTTATACATTGATAATAATTGGCAATTTTTATTATTTATAGAAAATAAGTGCAACTATATCTCCAAGTTCAGCGACTGATCGAGGCGCAGATTTAGGTGGCATTTGTGCTTTTAATGGATGTCAAACGAGAATGGTTAATAATGTCAATAAATATGTTTGTTGTTGTCGTAATAACTTTTGTAATACAGCTGTCTCGATCTCTAAATCAACAATTTATATTGTATCTTTATCTTCAATAATGATTTTTTTAATGAAAAATATTTATTAAAATAATTTATATTTAAGAACGTTTTTTTTTTCTAATGACAATTTTTCCTTGTTAATTCAAAACTATTGAAAGAATCTTGATTATTAATGAATAACATGCACAAATAAAAAATCTTTATTGAAACTTATATTCATTTTTAAAAAGTAATAGTCATGATCAACACATTGGGTCTGTACTATTTTTACGAACTATTTCATATAATAAAGTTGGATGTATTGATGGATTGAACTCTATTTGAGTACAATTCTGTGGAATATCAAATACATCGGATGGAGGAGGACCATATGTAAAGTTAAAAAATTGAATATCAGCACCGACAGTATATAAATTTAAATCCATTGGTAGATTTCCTTTTACTGTTGCATAATAATAAAATGGTGCTGGTGGTATCTAAACAAGATAAATTGAACTGTTTATTAGCTCAAACGAATAAATAGTATTTCTTATAATATTGTTTTAATTACCTCATAATTATGACATCCACTCCACTTATAGCATGATATATTGTTGTATGTTAAGTTTCCTTTAAATTCATAAGTACGAAAGGCTAACATAGGTTCGATTTTGCCAGGAATTTGTCCCCATGAACATCCATCTGTACAACAAAAGTTTAAGATTCACAATAAATTAATTGAAAAAGAAAATACTACCTGGTGATAATTTATAGTATCGATAACTTTGAAAATCTATAATTGTACTAAAAGCTTGATCATCATAAACAAGTTTATCTCTAAAAATAGTTGTGTCTACATAGTACATCGAACGTTGTCCATTGACTAGAAGCGATGTAGAATACTATATCGATATAATAAATTTATTTTGATATCTATCTTTATTAATAAATTAAATTACATACTTGACTTGGTTGAGGAGGAACAAGACCAATATTATTACCATTCGTTTTATACAAGAATGTGATAAGAAAAGACAATATCAATGCAATATAATTCATCTTTTTCATACCGAGCTTTTAATTTTATGAATTGTCTTGTGTTGCTGACAAAAGAATATATGATAAGAATGTATATGTGGTTCTTGATATTCTTGATTAGTCATATGTTGCATAGTCATTCTATTACAAAATATTGAATGATAAGGAAGACAAATTGTGTGAATATAGGTCATTATGACGTTCTGTGTGCTCGTTAAAATATGAGTGAGACATTTTTGCTTATGATTCATCTTTATGGAGGGTGAACGATGGTTAATACGAACAAAATGTCAACATATTTCAATAGTATACATTTATTTGTGTATATATTTAAATGAGAGATGATATCATCTGATTATCAGGATGCTTTACGTGGACGATATCAACAATTACCAGATGTTCGCTCGAAAGTTGTTCGTATTTTTCTCAGTTCAACATTTTCAGGTTAAAGATCTTCTATAAATATATGATTAGTCTCGTATAAAAATATATGTTCATAATTAGACACAATGGTCGAGCGAGATTCATTGATTGAAAATGTTTTTCCAAAATTGAAAAGTTATTGTCGTGAAAAATATGGTCTTGAATTTCAAGTTTGTATTATTCATTTAGCTGTTTTTTTTAATCAATATATAAATAACAATTATAGTATGCTGATATGCGATGGGGAATTCCAACAGAATCAAATAATAATCACAGTGAAACCGAAACATGCCTCAAAGAAATTGAATTATGTCAAAAATATTCTGTCGCTACTAATTTTGTGGTTAATTATCTCGCTTCAATTATTTTATTGATTATAATTAATTTTGAATAGGTTTTATTAGGTCATCGTTATGGTTCTAGACCAACACCAGCTACTATTCGTGCATCACTTTTTGAACAATTGTATAGTATTATCTGTTCAGATATCAATGATAAAGATGATGCTCAATTACTTTCTCAATGGTATCAACTCGATACGAATCGAATACCTGCTGTTTATATACTTCGTCCGATTTCATCAATCTTACCTAATATTTTATCTCCGGTAGAAAAAAAAACATAAATTCTAATTATGAAACAAATAAATATTTTTAAGGATACAAATGAAGTAAAACAAGCAGAAAAAGAATGGAAAAAAATAAATACTCGTATTCGAACACGATTACGACAAGCAGCAACAAAATGTTTAGAACAACAACAAATTCAAGAGAATGAATATGATGATTTTTTTATATCAGGTATATTTTAAATTTAATTTGCATTCACTATAATAATATTTTTAATTATAGTAACAGAAAAAGAAATTATAAACGGTATTCTATCGGTACCAAATGCAAACGAACGTACATTATGTTTTTTACGTGAATTTGAAGACATTCATGAACATTTATCAGATAATAAAGCATCAAAATATATTGATTTACAATATTTAGATGATGGTACACCAATAGTAGATGATGAAGTTGAGAAATTACTTAATCGTTTAAAATATACCCGAATTCCAAATGTATTACAATCAGAAAATATTTATAAATATAAAATTCATTGGACATCAAAAGGTATCAATCGAGATGATCATATTCACCATATAGAACGATTTAATAATGATTTTTATAATGCAATACAACAACAAATTGATCAATGTGTTCAATCTCGTGTTATGCCAGTTTCAGATCCATTACATCATGAAGTTTTAGAACATGCAATACAATGTAAAACATACGTAGCTAAATTTCATGGTCGAACAGATATTTTAAATAGTGTAAGATATATTATATTTTTATAATTCATTAGCATAAATATCATTTTCTTTTAGTTGAAAGAATATATTAACAATGATAATGAGAATCGTCCGTGTATTGTATATGGAACTTCAGGTTGTGGAAAAACGAGTTTATTAGCTAAAGCTGCAACAGAAGTATGTAGAATCGATGATAAATAATATTGTTCAAGAACTATTTTTAGATATCAAATTGGTGGCCCAATCGATCTATCTCAATTATTTTACGATTTCTTGGGTACTATATACTTTTCTTATAAATAGAGAGTTTGAAACGTGATACATATTTTTGTAGAACGACTTCATCTTCGTCTACAATGTCGAAAAGTCTGCTATCAATATCAGAACAAATTTGTCGATTATATAACATATCAATGGAAAATCATTCTAATGCATCACAATTACGATATCAATTAGAAAAAGATATATTTCCAAAAATTCCTCCTAATGAATATATTGTAGTATTATTTGATTCAATTGATCAACTTTCAGCAGATGCTTATGATTGTAAATGGTTACCAATAAATTATCCAAAAAATATTAAATGTATCATATCAACATTATCTGATCATGGAAATATTTTATCAAATTTAAAAATGATTATAAATAATAATAATAATAATTCAAATTTATTTTTATTTGTATCACCTTTTGATGCAACAACAGTCGAAATTGTTTATAATGACTGGCTTAAAATAAAACAACGTTCATTAAGTGATGAACAACGTTTATTTATTCGTGATTTAGTACATAATCGATCGGAAATTCTTCCTTTATTTATGAAACTTCTTTTTGATATTATTTTAACTTGGCATTCCTATGATCCTATCGATAATAATCTTAAAAAATTAGAAACTATCGATGATTGTATTCTCTATCTTTTTAGTCGTTTAAAAACTATTCATAATAGTTTATTAGTTTCTCGTTCATTATGTTATATGACAGCATCGAGAAATGGTATTAGTCAAAATGAACTTGAAGACGTACTTTCTTTAGATGATGATGTAATTAAAAATGTATTCCAACATTATATACCACCTGTTAAACGTTTACCTGGTCTGTTATGGACTAGAATTAGAAATGATTTAGATGAATATATTACAGAAAAAGAAGTTGATGATTTATCAGTCATTTATTGGTAAGATATACAAGATGTCACAATCTGTGAGTGGGTGTAGTGTAGATGCGAAAACGTGTGAATGCTTACACTCACACACTCATTCACATCCTCACCCACACTAGAGTCCTGCACGGGTACACTTTTTTGCACCCGAATCCGACCCTACCCGGCTAGAATGCAACCGGATTCTAATCGGTCCCAGTAAGTTACTTTTCAAATATGATCAAATTCCTAACTTTCTGTCTCATTCAATAAATATAATACGTTTGATTTCGTTCATAAGTAACAAAGAAAAATATATATTATGTAAAGTTATGTAAAAAAAAAATGAATCAGGAGTTAGTTGAAAAATGTGGATTTTGCTCTTATCTCACATCCAAACACGCACAGACCCACATCCACTCTTCATATTGTAAGATGTTAATTAATAAAAATATGAAAGCTTTTTATTTGAGAAATAAAAAAAGCTACTTAAAGAAACTAAACTTTTCTTTATCAAATATTATGATGAGTAATGGATCGTTTAATTATTATCAGACTTATTTTGACTCCTTTTTTCATATTAGTAATAGTACCAGAATAAAATGTTAGAAATTCGGTGATATTACTAGTTATCGATTAGGGTCCGGGTATACACTCTTACTCGGGCCCGAACCGACCCGGCGAATTTTACCCGACACTCAGGTCCGAGTCGAGTACCCGTCCGGTTTGCAGGACTCTAACCCACACTCACCTTTTTGTTTTATATTTTGTAAATAGGTATCATCGTCGATTTATTGAAATAGCCGAAAAAGAATTTATTTCAAACTTGACAAAAATTGAACGAACAAATATTTTTCAAAATATGGTTGACTTATATACTGAAAAATGGAGTGGAAAAGCGAAACCATTCAAAATAGATAGTAAAAGTTTGATTAATAAATATAATTTACATGAATCAAATGGAGAAATTCAAGCAAATCGATTGATAAGTTCACAACCAATTCAATTCATTGATGGAAATGGTCAAATTCAATTTAATAAACGAAAATTAAATGAATTACCAAATTTTTTAAGTAAATTAGCACCTGATTCAACAATTCCAATTGCTGCTAAGGAAATATTTTTCAGTTATTCATTTATGCGTAATGGTTTTTTTCTGTTTTTAATTTAATAATAATCGATTTTCTTGTTTCAGGTGCTAAAATAATATGTTCATCTTTCGATGATATAACAGAAGATTTGAGAATAATTCAAGAATTATCAACATATGGTCTTGCAAAGGAAATAACAGAAATAAAAAATGAAATTGATATACATTCAATGGTATATATGCTGACTGGAAGTTTACTTGAAAAATATCCTGAAAATTATAGTTTTGAAATTACATCACGTCTTCTTCGTTTATTTGGTGTTAAATCATATATAACTCATTTAATCAAACAACTTGATGAATTTAGTATTAATTATTGTTCATTAATCGTTCCTTATTGCCAAATAGAACCACCTGGTGGTGGTTTACTTCATACAATTCATAGACATACATCATCTATAACATCATTTAAATTTACAGAAGATCTTTCAACAAATATTAGTCTATCAGATAAAATTGTTGTCATTGATTTAGAACATAACAAAACTGTTCTCGATATTAATTTACCAAAATTAAATCAATCTTATTTAAATTGTATAACATTAACAAATCCTGATTTTATTACTGAAAACGATAAATTTAAGAATTTATTATTTTTTATAAATTCATCAAATAATATTTATCTTATTTCTGCAAATGAAGATATTAAATTTAATAAATCATCTCAAATTGGATATGTAGGTGTTGAAGTTTTTGATACTAATCATATTCTTTGTATTATCGCGGAAATTAATGGAAATTATATTGAATGTTGGGATATATTTAAAAATGAATTATTTCAAAGAATAGAATTTCCATCATCATCATCATCAACAATAAAATATGTATTTTGTATTAATGTCTATTCAATGATAATAACTGTTTTTCATAATGGTAATATTTATTTTCATTCTATTATGGATGATTCAATCCAATCAAATTTTATTCATCGAGGTTCAATAGAACTTAGTAATCATCTTGATTTAGTTACGTTAGATAAAGAAATATTAATATGTACATTTGATTCATCTATTCCGATTGATTTTGCTTTTATTAATTTAAATCAATTTAAAAGAAAACAAGAATTTTTAAATAATAATCAAATATTAAAAATATTAATAAAGTTTGATTATCCATTAGAATTAAAACCAATTAAAAAAATTATATTACCATATAAAAACGAGATACTTAAAAGGTATGATTCTGGAATTAAATTTATGTTATTTATAGTGATAACAAATAGATGGTTACATATTATTCACCTATGTAGAATGGAAACAATATCATATACGAGTATTAAAGGTCAATTTGATACAGCAGCTATGCATGTAAATAATCTAAATTTGATATATACAGCTCGTGGAGGTATTATTGAAGTATATATTTGGAAGTGTTTATACAGAAGGCATGAAAATGATGTTTTACATAAATGTCAATTGTATGTTTCAATTGATGTTAGTTCTTCTCCTATTACGACAATTTTCCCTGCACCATCTTATGGTATACGTATTTTCTCATAATTTTGTTTTTATCAATATAATATATTTTTAAGGAGTCCTATTTTTTTGTTCGTTACAAAATGGAACTATTCATCTATATAATGGAAAACATACAAGAGATACTATGAAAACTATAGCACCTTTTCCACGTACAAATGAATCCATACAAACTATTCAATTACTTAACGCAACAGCTATTACTCTTGATATTTCAAAACGGTAACTATCAAATTTTTCTTGACTGAAATACTTTGTTACATTTAGTGAACTTACATCGTGGTCATATCAACATTCTACATCAATTAAATCTAGTCATATATTTGAGAATGATATAATTATCAATGGTTTTGCTATGACATGTAGTAGTATTAATTCAGAAAGAATATTTGTACTTGTAATAACAAGTGACAGTTATGCTGAAATTTATTTAGCTAAATCACTTGGCAAAAATCCTTTGTTTCATCTTGAACTTCATTCTTCAGCTAGAGTTCATTCAACAAAGAATGGAAATTTTATTATATTAACAAAAAATGGTACAATACATAGAATTGTCGAACAAATAATATCTAATGAAGAATCTAAATTTAATGAAATAGAAAATAGTCAGCTGAATATTCAATGTTCAATGATGTTTAGTTCAATTTTAACTATAAATTCAAAGGAATATCTTATTGTATTTGATGATAATGGTCAATCAATGGCTGTTTGTTCAATTGAACAAATTATTTATATTGATATTAATTTTTCATTAGATTTAGTACCATTATCATCTCATTTGTTGTCTATTATTGGTGATTCATCTCAAGATTTAGTAGCATTACATTTCGATAATAAATCTCTTACTATTTGTCAAGTTAAATTAGCCGAATCATCAAATAATAAAGGTTATCTTAACATGATATCATTTGATAAAGTTGATAAATTTTGTTTAAAAAATGATTATTTTGCTAAATTTAATAATGTTGATAATGAACTTAGTTGGTATAATATTAATTTATCAAAATATCATGAATTCATTAAAATGTCAAATGAATGTTTACAATTATGTATGAATGAATCAAGTAGTTATATTTTTGTTTTGATAAAATCTTGTATATTATTTATGTATCGTATTATTGATAATCAACAATTAGCTAAATTATATCTCTATGATATTGCTTCATTTATGATAGCAGATAATGATTTTATTGTTTTATCAATGAATGATCGACGTCTACTTACATTAATGATTGCCGATCCCCAAGATTCAACAGTACACGCAAAAATACACGCATTACCTAGCAGGTATAGTTTTCTTGACGAATAAATTATTAAGATCAATTCAATATATTTCGTTTGCTATGATAGAACTTCTGAGCATACTACCGAATCTGCAACTACAAACCTTATTAAAAATTTAAACAAACGTCTCAATCCGGACAGTAGTGACGATTACAGTGATTCGTTCGATGATGATGACGATGATGATAATAATACTAGTTCTCGTAAGAAGAGAAAACCCATCAAGACTAAGAATACTAAGACAAAAGTTGTACGATCTAATACTTCTTTTCGGTTAGTTACTCGATTTCCTAGTCGATATTCACCTTCAAAGATGAATTCTACCGATGAGTTTATATCCAAAATATTGTCCATACTTTGGAACGCTTCAGATGATATTGATGTGACACAACTCATTGATGATTCTGATGATGAAAATTCTACTAATGATGACCGGCAGATGACCGATACAATCAGCATAGAAAAATCTGAACATGAAGCTGATTGTAGTCGTCCAACGACTGAAGATGATCTCAATGATATTCGTCAAAAAGTCGTAGAATATGACCGACAACAACTTAAAGGTGTACAATTTGCGAATGCAGGTCATACTAATTTGAAAGTTGTCAACAGTTATCCAATAACTTCGCATACATGCTCGCTTTTTTAATTATTTTATCAAGCCCGCTTTGTTGCTTATTATTTTCAACACAATTTGTGAAACCACATTTATCCATGGAATTGTTTCAAAAAAAACCTATTTTTGCTTATTTTATTAATATACCTTGCTGCAAACACAGAGAAAAATCAATCCTTAGATCTATATTCTTAAAAATATTCTGACTATGCGAGATAGGGTGGGTGTGGGTGTGGGTGTGACTGTTGGTGTTGGCGTAAGTGTGGATGTAGGTAAATACAAGTTGCATCCATACCCACACCCATACCCTAAAACGTAAATTTATCACGCTTAATCAGCTCGTAAAAGTATATGACGCAGATGAAAAATCCCAAAACGAGATTCATGTGTTATATAATATACTTCCTTTACTCTTTCTGTTTCCATTGTACAATGAATAAGTTTGTTTATGTATGTGTCATCAAATATATGTTTTTGAAATAAAAGTCAGTTGATATATGAAGAATTATCAAAAGAGAAGAAATATATCGACTTATTCGTTTTTTGTATCTTATCCATAAGTAAATAGACATTACTTTCATTAAGATAACAAAATTAATTTAATTTATCGTTTGTTATATATTTCAGAAATGAAACCAATATTTTGAGGGTGTGGATGTGGTTGAAAATATTATGAACTCACACCCATGATTAAATCATTTCAATAATACACTTGATTTTATCTTCAATATTTTTCTTTTCCTGTTCTATAGATCCATTTTGTACATATTGATCACCATAATCTATCAAACATCTCATTCCAACTAATTCTCTCGATAATGAATATAGTCGTCGTCGTTCTTCATATCCATTATCTAATTTTACATAGTTTGTATAACTAGACATAAATACATTTCTATAATCAGCACTATCTCTCTCTTCAAAATGTCCTTTTTCAATTCTCATTAATTCATATTCATTATGTCCAATAATTGCATCTTCAGCATCCAGAATACCTGTAATTTTTATGTCGAGTATCAGAATATTAGCACAATGTAAATCCATATGTAATAATCTAGGTACTATATTATAATCGATTAAGTGCATATTTTGAATTAAATATTTATGAATAGTAGTTGCAAGTTCTTCAAACATCGTTCCATTAAATTGCACAATTTGTTTTTTGATTATATCACTAAACAAATCTTTCCAAGTATGAAATGATTGATGTTGTAAATAGCCACATTTCTCATACGTGTATTTTGAATGTAACTGTCCTACAAGTGTACCTAATCCCTGATAAATTTCCAATCGTTGTATATGTGTCATAGAATCATACAATTGTGATAAAGGTAGGCCAGGTAATTTTGAACATATATAGTAATTTCTAACAATCGAATCATATTTGAAAACTTTTGGTACAGGTAAATAATTAGTGCTATCTTGATGCAATAGTTGATAGAATGTAATTTCAGTAATGTCATCAGGTTTAGTAAATTTTATAATCAGTTCTAAATTAGAACTATTAAAAAATGTAACAAAATAAACTGAATTTGAATAACCATCTACTGGACGCGATATACTTTTAATTTTTAATGAGTTATCATAATCACAAAAGATCTGTTTTATAATATCTGTTTTGTCATTCATCTGTTTATTAATAATATTTTTTTTAAAATAAGATGATTAAGAGAAAAGAAAAAAGATTGGTGTGCACACTCTATCCATCAAATACTAGCATAGAAAGAGGACGCTATGATAGAGTGTGAGATCGAAACCAGTTTAATATATCATATTTTTATTCACATCTTCATCTTGAGGGTGTGGGTATACTCTCTATCAGCTATCTCCACCCACACCCTCGAGATCTGATTTGTAAAATAATTTTAAAAAATGGTAAAACAACAGTAGGTAAGTAGACGACCATCCCTTTTTTCTTTACTCTTATATATTATTATCTCGAATAAAGATAATAGTGCGGCAGCATGCATAGGCATGTGTTATTATATAAAAGTACACTGTGGATGTTTATCAACAGGTAGACAATACTGATTTTTATCACGGACAACAAACGTTGAAAAGAATACATACCCACATCCTTGGTAAATTCATTTTTTGTTAATCTATTTAATAAACAATCGAAGTTGTGATATTACAATGCAATTCTTTTGGGTATATTTTATTCATTTCTAGATAAAAAATGGCATATCTCTGTTTGATAAAATGTATTATGATACTATTTATCGTTTGGTCTGCATCTGCACAACAGTGTGATCAACCGTTAAAAGCAGCACGATTCGATTGTCATCCTGAACCATCTGTAACATCTGAAAAATGTTTAGCTCGTAAATGTTGCTGGCAACCACAAATGCGATCAATGATTCAGTTGTTCAAAAATACTTCGAGCAATTCTGCGGGTATAAATGTACCTTCATGTTACTATCCACGAGATTTTCCAACATATCAGGTTAAAACGAATGAACCAACTGCTTTTGGACAACGATTAACAATTATTAAACAACAATCAACTTATATGCCAAATGAAATTCTTAGTTTGACAGTTGATCTGATTTACGAGACAGCACAACGATTTCGTTTACGAATTTATGATTCAACAAAGAAACGTTTCGAAGTTCCACTTTCAGTACCTGTCATTCAAACAAAAGTGAATGTTACTGATTACGACGTATCGATTAGTCAAAAACCTTTTGCTATTCTTGTCAAACGAAAATCTACCGGCATAACATTGTAAGTACATTGTTCATGACGATAGATATATTTTTAAAAGTCTATGTTTTAGATTCGATTCAAGTGTATCACCACTTATTTATGCTGATCAATTTATTCGATTTTCCAGTTATCTATCTAGTCCATTTCTCTATGGTCTTGGTGAACATCGACAACCACTATTGATCAATGTCACAAATGAATGGAGAAAACTAACATTTTGGACTCGTGATACTCCTCCAGTTCAAAATAATAATCTATATGGTAAGTATGTTTAAATGATATATTTTCCAGTTAAAGATTAAAACTGATATTTCTAATCAGGCGTTCATGCATTTCATATAAATCTGGAAAAGAAAAACAACACGCCAAATAATTTCCATGGACAATTTTTTCTTAATTCCAATGCAATGGATATTGATCTTCAACCATTACCAGCTATTACTTATACAACTGTTGGAGGTATTATCGATTTGTATTTATTCACGGGACCTACAGCACAAGATGTTATTCAACAATATTGGGATGTCATTGGAGTAAGAAAACAAAACTAAATAATTAATTGATTGAAGTCATTTATTGTATTCTATTTTAGAAACCTACAATGCCACCATATTGGTCTCTTGGTTTTCATCTATGTCGTTATGCATATAATAGTATCGATAATTTACGAGCTGTTATTAAAGTATTATTTTTAAAAATTGAGACAAAACCGTTTGAATTTCATTGTTGATTTGTTTTATTAGCGAATGCATGATGCTCAATTTCCATATGATGTTCAATGGACAGATATTGATGCAATGTCATCACATCTTGATTTTACCTATGATAAAACAACATTTAATGGTCTACCAGATCTTGTTCGTTCATTACAATCTGAAGGTAAACATTATGTTAATATCATTGATCCAGGTATTAGTTCAACTCAACCATCTGGTTCTTATGCACCATATGATGATGGTTTGAAAAGAGCAATTTTCATGACTAAATTTAATTCAACTGAACCAATTATTGGAAAGGTAAAATTACATATATTCTTAAATCTATCTCGATATAAATCTATATATATATATATATATATTTTAGGTCTGGCCAGGTATAAGAATTATGATAAAACATAATTAATTGTTTATTTTTCATCATTTTTATATATAGGTTTAACAGCATTTCCAGATTTTACTAATGAAAACTCGATTGAATGGTGGACGAATGTTGCTGCTACATTTCATGATATAATTCCATTTGATGGTATTTGGATTGTATGTATATACATCCAGATTATGAAAATGAGTCATAAAACTTGTTTTCTTTCTAGGATATGAATGAACCATCAAATTTTGTCGATGGTTCTCATATTGGTTGTACAAATAATTCATTGGATAACCCTCCATTTGTTCCACGTAAGTTTTTTTTTTGATAAAAAATAGAATCGAAATAATAACTATCAACTTTGTTTGTAAGATGTACTCGGCAATACACTCTATGCATTTACAGTCTGTCCATCAGCCCAACAGGCACTTTCCTCGCATTATAATTTACATAATATGTATGGTTATTTTGAAGCAAGAGCAACAAATCTGTATGTGTTTAAATAACACTCGAAGAAATATTGACTTATTATATACATATATGTTGTAGTGCATTGAAAACAATTCGTCATAAACGACCATTTGTTTTATCTCGTTCATCATTTGCTGGCTCTGGGCAATTTACTGCTCATTGGACAGGTGATAATAACTCGACATTTGAAGATATGTATTTTTCAATTCCAGGTACGTTTTTCTTTTATTTACTAAACTCTTAATGTTAGCTATATTCATTATCTATATTTTTAGCCATTATCAGTTTTAATATGTTCGGTATACCAAATACTGGTGCAGATATATGTGGTTTTGGACTTGATACAACTGAAGAATTGTGTACAAGATGGATGCAATTGGGTGCATTCTATCCGTTTATGAGAAATCATAATGCTGGCAAGGTAAACTTCTTTCTTAAAGATCGCTTGACTGAATTTATTCTCATATACAAAAAAATAGGATCAAGATCCTGCTGTATTCTCTTGGACAGCTCAACAAATTATGAAACAAGCATTATTAATGCGATATTCATTCATACCATTCTGGTATACACTTCACCATCAAGCAGCAATGGCTTCGAAAACCCTAGTGCAACCACTTCATTTTGAGTAAAATACTCAATAGTCTTAGATGTTTTTTCTTATAACTCTACAATTCTTTCAGATTTCCAGATGATGACAATACCATTGGTATTGATCAACAATTTTTAATTGGTCGTGCTATACTTGTTTCACCAAATCTTGTTTCAGTATGTATATATTTTGTCACTTTAATTTATATTTTGTATATATTTTCTCTTCAGAATACAACTGTAGTGCATGCTTACATTCCTCAAGATGTTTGGTATGAGTTTCCATCAGGTAGTCAAGTAAAAGATGTTGGTATATTTACTGATCTTGATGCTCCTTTGGAAAAGATTAATGTTCATATTCGAGGTAATTTCATTATTCCAATGCAAATACCTGGAGATAATTTGATGATGGGTCGTGGAAATCCTTTTACATTACTTGTTGCTCAATCAATGTCAGGAAATGCTACTGGAAATCTATTTTGGGATGACGGTGATTCCATCGGTGAACATTGATACTATATATAAATTTCAATCATACTGATTTTTATTGTCTTATTTAGATTCAATCGAAACAAAAACTTATAATTACTTTGAATTTTCATGTAGTCTAGTAAGTGAAACGGAGATTAAAAGAGAAATTCTATATTTGATATTCAATATTGAATAGAATACATTAACAATGAATGCAATTGTTGCAAATTATAAAGATTCACCAATGCGTTTGGAACTCATTCGAATTCTTGGTGTTAGCAAAACAGTGATGAGTGTGAATGTGAATGGAAAAGAACATAAAGACTTCTATTATAATATACCTGATCAAGTAAGTTTTTAAAGATATTAAGTGCTTTTTGTTGAGTATCACAATAGTAAATAACAATCGATTAAACGATTTAATTTCTTTTTTAGATTTTAGTCGTACATAGTCTTGATATGGATATGTTGGCACAATCTATTCAAAAGATTGAATGGACAACAGCACATTAACGTAGAAAATATATTTACTTTTCTTTTAATTATCATCCAATAAATTAATATGAAACATTAATCTATCAAACTTAATTTCTTCTTGCAAAAACATTAAATTAAGATACATTCACACTCTCAAGATGGATGTTCGACGTTTTAATAGATAAAATTAGTAATTTCTTTACTTTTCCGTACATTTCAATATGTTCGGATTTTATCATTAAATACTAAAGATTTTTAATCATATATAATTATTAATTGTTGACTTATACATAAAAATAGAATTTTATCTGTGAAAAAATCAACATAAATCATAAAATCAATTTTTTTTTTGAGTCTTATGTAAAAATCAAATAGCAATAAAAACTTTCTTATAGTACATTATACCAGCAATGAATGACCAAAATAGTGAACCATAGAGATTCATTGCAAGTTGTTGAGCATGACTATCATCGACATCGAGTTGTACGGGAAAACTAACCCCAAATAGACCATGACACATATAAATAGCAATTGAATTCATACCTAACCAGAGAAAAGGAGCTCCAGTAAACCATTGACGAACATCAACAAGAAGATAAAGTATTGTAAGAACTATAAAAGCTAAACTAGCTAAAGTAAATACAAATGTTAATGACCAGAGATTTTTATTAATTGGAATCCAACTATCCGAATGACCACCTTGTGATAATCCTAAACCGAAACAACCACAAATGATACCCGATATAATCCATTGAATACAAACGCGATGAACACGAGTAGAATGAATAAAACTATGACCAGCTTGTGCACCAAGATAACAGAGTAGAATTCCAGTTAGATTACCCAAAAGACCTACAATATACAATATAGTTTGATTTATTGAAAAAATAATTTACCTTCTGGATCATAAGGTATTTTAGTTGAATAGATTTCTTTACAAGTTGGATCATTGTACAAATGAGATGTTCCTAAAATAAGTCGATCAATATATCCAGCAGCTCCTATAAAGAATTTATAAAGAATAAATCATTTATATGTTCTTGTCTATATGAAATACAACCTCCAGTACAATTCCAATATTTTCCATGATTATGTCTCCCGCCAGGTCCTATATATCCAGTTGGACAATTAGGAATAGGAAGAAGAAAAGTTAGGAGAATCCAAACAGTAACAACTAATATAACGAGGAGCCATTGTATCCAATATTGAATAATACTTTTATATAATTCAGTTCGAAATGGTTGTTCCATATTGTTATCTAGACAATAGTAAATGATATTATAAAATAGAAAAACATACAGAAATATATTTTACCAATAGATAAGTGTATTGTTTCTTGTTGATTATTCTCCTTCCTTTCAAAAACAAGAACAAGTATAGCTGTAAAAAAATAACATGTTGCTAATCGTTGAAGAACACCTTCAATTCGCATATTTGTTAATTTTATTAAATGACCTTGTTCACTAAGTCCTATATAATATATATTCGTAATTTTCAAAAAACAATATTTAAATTTTTGATTTACCCAAAAGAAATAGAATAGCAGTTCTTTGACAAATTTTTAATAGAATATTTCGTTTTCGTACATTCTTTGCAAGAAGTGATCGTTGCGAGAGAACAACTGAAACACCCATCATCCAAGTAAACCAAGGAAATACAAGATCTGCTAAAGTTAATCCATTCCAGGCTATACAACAAAAATAATTGATCTTTATTAAATGAAAGAAATACTCATTTTTATTATTTTTTAAACTCACTTGAATGATCAAAAAACCAATAACCACCACCTATAAAAATATATTTTACTTTTCATTATAATTTATTGAATACATACCACCATAGTTAACAAAAATCATAACCATAAGTGAAAATCCTCGAAAAGTATCCAAAGAACGAAGACGTTTTGGTAAAGCTCGTCTAGTACGATTATTCGATGCATTTATAGCTTCTTGTTGTATATTTTCTAATGAACTGAGTGTTCTTATATTAAGATTATCATCGGTTGCTTGAGAATGGAAAATAATCGTATAGAAATGATTAAAATGCCGACGACAATGTAGATGATGCCAAAGTTGAACAAGAACAGTATACAAGATAACGGTTATAATACCAAGAATAGCGGGTGTCCAATAATAGCTTAGAGTACCAATTTGTTCTATAGAACACATGATATTAGTTGATGTATTCTGCATAATACTGAGCACATAGGTACCATTTTCAGAAAATTTGTACGATGCAAATTGACATAGTAATGATGAATTAGACGATGATAGACGAAGTTCCAAGTCATAGGCATATTTGGTATCGATAATTCGAGATGCACTCTTGTTTGATGCAACTACCATCAGTCTTTTAAGATCACAGCCTTCACACTCAACTTGATTGCCGTATAATGTAATACCATTTGAATTATTCGTGTTATGTATAATCAAATAGGCTTCATCCATGGACGGTGGGTCTGAGGGATCATCTTTAATAGTGTGTTTTTTACAAGAGATGTCTTGAATAAAAAACAATCCAATAATAACAATTAAAACTGAATAATGAACAGTCATGTCTTTCTAATCGTCTAAATAAAAGAATAGTATATTAGTTCATATTTATCAAAGAAATTTGAATTAAATCTCTTTTTCAATGAAAACAATAATATTCTGTCCAATTTGACCAGGCTGAGGACTAACTCACCTAAACTTCTTTTTATTCAAAAAAATAACCTTGTGCTATCTATCTTGTTTGCCTATAGAAGCATCTTGAAAAAAAAACAAGCTGTTGCTGCAGAGACATTTTTATCAATTTTACTTTAAAGAGGTAGATAACGGACTGTTTTATGTTTATATCACATTATTACTTCTTACAACAGAGAATAATATCAACACATTATTTAATACCTATATACATAACTGATAGGGTGTAGGTGGATTTGACTTGATGAGAATATACACATATTTAAAGATGTACATGAGTTATATTTATTATATCGTAATTAACAAATGAAGATATTTTTCAAATATAAATTTTCTTGTATTATCTATATTTCGCTGTCTTAAAATATTTCGTACAGCTGTACATTTATGTTCGTTGTCTAACTGATTCCAGTTGATACCTTGATTTAGTTGAAATAGTTTAGTGAATATTAATCTTTTTCTATCTTGATTTGGCTTTCCTGATGATGGATATTCCTTATTTAAATTATCAAAAAAAGTCTTGGTTTCACTGCTATATAATTTTGTAAATTCATTAATTAACTGTGGAATTATTGATTCTTCAATACGTCTTTCAATTTCATTGTATTCTTGTATAAACTTTGGAAAATAATTTAAATATTCTTGTTGTTCACCTTGTAACCAAATACTTAAACAAAATTGTCCTGTTTTATTTTCATTTTCTACTCCAACAGTTCCATAATGAACAATTAAATATGAAGGACTTTTAATTTTAATACGATGATAATTCCGCGTGTCACATGCCACAATACCTTCTCCTTCCATAAAACTCATTTGATTTACGTACTCTACACATTGATTTAGTTGTGAAAACTGAAATGAACGTGGTTTAGGTATCCCAATGTCAGTTTCTATTTCTTCCAGTGTCGACATATCGCGAGTACCCAAATGATACAACATTGGTTTTTCATATTGTATTACAATTCTATAATCTGGATGAACACGTTCGAAAAAATATGCATATCTTTGATTTAATTTTGAATAATCAAATCCAGCTTCTAACGCTGCTTCTTGCCATAGTTGTTCATTTGTTTTACCACAATCAGTATATTTCTTTCGTAATTGTTTAATATCAATACGACTATTACTACTTACATACCATTCATTTTGAAAAAAATATACTTTAAAAAATGAACCATCCATTTTTGCAGTGTAGGATGTCCAATTATCATTCGTAGTAGTAGCATTTGGTTCATTATAATTCCAGAATTTATGAAACGGTAAACAAACCAATCGATAAGGTGGCATTTTCTCATAGACTGCACCACGATTTTGTGCTAGTATAGTTTTTTGTTCTTCTGTACCACGTGTCCATAAATGACTCCCATGTATGTATTTAGCACAAAATAACTTGTCAGTTTCATCAATTACTAGACCATATTTTGTTTGTAAAAGTTCGCGAGCATCTGACCATTCTAGATTAGCAATAATTTTTGGCAAAAGAATTGAATCACACATTATCCTATAATCTATAAATAAAACACAATCAAAAGTAGAAAAAAAACAATCTCTCATTGATATTTATTATATTTTTTTTCTTTTTATGCGTTCTGTTGTAGATGACGTAGTCTTGCAGTAATGACAACATGATGATGCAATACAACTCAGTTATAGACAAGCATTGAAAAAAACGACGTTTTCTTATTCTTGATGATGGATAATAATTAATAATAATATTATTTTCTCATCGATCAATTAAACTGATTTCTGGTGAACTAAATACATATAAGATAAAAAAATCTCTCTGCTTCAGTATAGAACAAATCATTGCATTTTTTTTCATTTTCAAATAATAAAATCACTTTAATAACCGTTAATAAATCTTTTTAGAATACTCATAACTGCTAATATTTAGTGGTTTTCGCTTTATCTGTCTTACGCAAAAAGTAAATGCAGAGTATATTTTTAAAAAATTTTATCAGAAAAATTGTTGATTGAGCTGAAGTATAATTTTCAATAAATTCAGTACTTATTATCTGATGAAACGTTCGCTTTACCAGCTTTGAAGATAAAGTGAATGTTAGAGATAAAAATATAGGCGCTGTAACAGAGACAATCTCATTCTTGATCCGAGTAGAGTCGATATACTAGAGTATTGTGAGTTTCGTCATGAATAAACATCGAGAGACAACTTCAAATTTCCATCACAACTTAAAATACATTCTTGTCTTAAATAGAATCATTGTAAAAACATTGATCCTCACATTTATTTCTCTTATATATTAGAATGACTCTCACTGTATCGTGATGATGATAAAGCTTTTTATTTATCCATTTTAATATTAAAAAAAGATTTATGAGGTATATTTAATTAAATTTCTATACGACGTAATATATATCTATATATAATGAAAATAAATCTAACATTTTGATTCATACAAAATTAATATGTCAGTTTCAGACTTCATTCACTTAGCTGTCATATACTGATACTTCAAAAACATGACTTTTGTTTATCTTTCTATCTCTTTTGACGTGTTTATCTTATTGAATAATAAATATAACTTATTATTTTCTTTTATAATCAGAATAGAAAGAGTATTTTAATGGTGGCAAATATTGAATCATGGTTTATTCCTTTCGATGTATTTATGATCATATGTATCAGTTTAGTTGTTATACTTGCTATAATATTTTTAATTATTATTATAATTGATAGAGCATGTCATACAGTTCCAATGATGCTAATTGCTAATTTATGTTTAGCTGAATTTCTATTTGGAAGTGATCTATTGAGTATGGTTATATTTACATTGAGAAATGATCTTTATCAAATTGATCATGATGATATATTTTGCAACTTTCGAGGTTATCTTAGTTATGTTGGTTATGCTTTACAAAATTATTGTTTTTTATTACAATCAATCTACCGGTATCTAACAGTTATTTATCCAACCGATCTATTTTATCAATCAACAAAATTTCAATGTTTTCTTATTTGTCTAACATGGCTATTTTCATTTATATATGCTATTCCATTTATTTTAATGAATCAAATAAAATTCAATCTTGATAATCAAATATGTCAAATGCCTTTAGGATTTTCTTTCTTTGGAATTTATACAGCACTTTGTATCTATGGAATTCCTATATCATTGATTATGATGGTGTATTTTAAATTAGTTCAATATGTTAAAGAAATGAATAAACGAGCAATGGCAACTAATATTTTAATGCGTGCTGAACGAGAATTAAAAATGCTTCGACGTACAGTAATAATTGTATTAATTATAATTATAATTGGTTTACCTTATGGAATATTTTCTTTCATGGCATTTTTTACTAATCCACCAAAATATTATATTCGAATTGCTTTTATATTCGTTGATGCATCATTATTAATTGTTATGATTGCTCTTTTCAATTTTACAGAACCACTTAAAACATCTATAATCAGGAGATTAAATATAAGAAATAATACCGTAGTAATAGCGATAACATAATTAATTAAAATGAAAAGAAGTGTATATATATATAAACATGACCATTCGTCTGCTACACCTTTTTTATATCTTTTATTGTTTTTAATTTCTACACTGAACATAAAGATCTTGATTTTGAATTCTTTATTGAATTGAAATTCATATTTAGAATAACATTGCACTTGATGATTTTTGCATCTTCCTTAGGTCTTTGCCAACTATATAATTTATATAATAATTCAAATATGCAGCATTCGAAAAATAAATTTAACTTTTTTCCTGTTAATTATCCAAGTTGATAATGCTTAATGATATCTAATCGTTGAATTTTTATATGTAACATTTCAATTAATTGACTATGCTATTGACGATAATTTTTAAGAAAAATTATTTATTAAAAATAACGTAATCATGGTGTATATTTGTATCCCTATCCCCAATGATCAGATTTTTTATTGGTGTAGTACATAATCAGAAAACAAAGGATATGCATGATTAAGTATTGAGTTATATTTGATAAACGAAAACAGAAGATATGATTCAAATTGATCTAACATTGAACAAATAACAGCTATTAGAAATCTATACATATTAGCTAATTAATTTGATGTGAATATTTCAAAAATAAATGGTCTGAAAGTGTCAATGCATTTCATATTTTAGTGAGTTCTTAATATTAGTCATTACTATATTCATCCTTTATTTATTGAGACTAAATATTGAGTAAAGAAGAAAGTATATATGTCGTATTTTTGTTTTTGTTTTCTAACGTCGTCATTAGAATGAAAAATGCAAATAATTACAAATAGAAGAATATCTGCAGCCGCAGTAGAGCGTTGTCTATTGTTACATAAAATCTATAGCGAATTATTTTATTTTTTACATATACTAAAACACATTAGGTATACACCACGTTTTTGTTCTTCCTGTTGGACCAAATAATGAAAAGAAAAGAATATTTTTTCTTCTTTTTTTCTTCTTTATATTGAGCATGACGCATAGTGATACTTGCAAGTACAACGCATCGTGATCGAGTACGATAGAGTATATACGGACAACAGAGAGAAAGATAAAAAAATATGCACTTTTTAGGTAATATCATTTATTTTAGATATAATATTATATTTTCTATCCGCTAACAAGAGTAATTAGAAATCGGTTCATGACTGAAAATGATCAATTTGAAGGTATCGATGATCTTGTTCAAAGTACAGAAGATGCAGTCGAATTTAACCTAATCAAAGGTAAGTTCATATTGATTTAATCTTAATTTATCGTTGTTTTTCAGACAATATGGAGCGAACAGACACGGAATATTTACCAGATTCAGATTGGAATTACGAAGCAAAATTCGAAGAACTTGTACAAGCCATTTCCATTAATAACAATGGTTTGACTTTTTCTTGTATCTCTCAAGTTAATATACTTAAAAATAGATGAACAAAATGATAACACGTCTATATTTGATCTGCCAGTTCAAGTTACTAAAATAGAAGCAGAAAAAATCCATAATCCAATAACAGATTTTCGCCATCCTTACTTGTAAGTTATTTTTAATGAAATAAAAAATAATTTCGATTTACTACTCATCTGCAGTTCATATAGGTATACAATAAGTATTCGTTCTGGTTCTGCATATGAATGGGCAATTAAAAAACGTTATAAACATTTTATTGAACTTCATAAAGATCTTCTAGATTACGCTCAATTTCGTACAGACAAAATACAATACAATTTAAATACGTATGCTAATAAATTCCTTTTAAAGACAAGATAATATTTGATATTGTAAATTTCAGAGCAAGATTATCTACAACAGATATTGATGATATGAGTGATTATTCCATAATTGATGAGGAACAGCTTGATTTTCCAATTAATAATGATCATATTTCATTCACTTCCAAATCTTCTAATGACGAACAATGTGTAAAGATTATTGATGTTTTTCTTTTTCTTCTATGATTTTATTTGTATAATTTTAGAAAATATTACAAGAATATCTCAATAAAATTCTTAAACATCCAAAACTTCGTGAACATCATGCTGTGGTAATAATAGATGTATTGTATTAGATCTTTTTACATAAAATATTTTTTTTATCAATAGACAAACTTTCTGGAAATTAGTCATCTTTCATTTGCACTAGGATTGGGAAAAAGTTTACAAGAAGGTGATCTTTTAAAACGATCAAAAAATATTCATCATGAACATTCAATTTTTCTTCGAACACCTTTTCTATTGGATAAATATAAATCTCATCATGGTCGAAAATGGTTTGTTATCAAAGATTCCTATTTTGTCAATATGGAATCTGATTCAATCGTTGATGATATTCCCATGCTTGTTGATCGAGCATTTTCTATTGAACAAGGTTTTTGGAAGACAAAAACTAAGAATGGAATTCGAATAGAAAATTTACAACATTTAATGATTATTAAATGTCAAAGTGAAGATGAACGAGATGTTTGGTTTAATTCTTTATTAGAACTCAAGACAAAATCTATTTTTACTCAACAACATCGGTTTTTTTCATTTGCACCAGTAAGACGACAACAATATGCTCAATGGTTTGTTCAATATTTCCGTATTCTATTTAGTAAATCTATTCTGTTTTCTATTGCAAAAAACAAAAGGTTTATCAATGGTCAGTCGTATACGGAAGCACTAGTCAAAGCTATATTAGCAGCCCGTGAAGAAATTTTTATTACTGATTGGTGGCTTTCACCAGAAATAATGCTTATTCGTCCATTTCAAGACGATTCAATGCGACTTGATAATCTTCTTGGTAGACGAGCTGTAAGTTCTTAGAATAATTTTACAGATATTTGTTTTGCAAAAAAAAATCAATAAATAGGAGGAAGGTATTCGTATTTATGTGTTAATATACAATGATATTGAATCAACTATGGGTTTAAATAGCCGACATTCGAAAAGAAAATTAATTTCAAAAAGTCCAATAAAGAAAAATATCAAAGTAATTTTTCTTTACTCATTATTTTTCTTGATCTTAACATATAGTGGAATTAAAAGGTTATTCAACATCCACATCGTCGATTGTCATCTGGATTAAAAACATCATTTCTTTTTTCACCTCATGAAAAATTAGTCATTATTGATCAACGGTTAGCTTTTATTGGAGGCATGGATCTTTGTTTCGGTCGATGGGATAATCATAATTATCGGTTAGTCATAGCGATAGATATTAAGTCATAGATTACATTTTGAATAGATTGATAGATTTGGGCGATGAAAATATCACGGAATTGAAACTTCCAGGTCAACTGACCACTGAACCTACTACGAATAAACATACAGTAAGAATACACTTGATTATTCACATCATTCAATAGATTCTACTTATCTCTGAGAGATAGTATTTAAATATGATTTATTTGATATTTTATAGAAGACAAGGAATTTTGAAAAAAATGTACCCGATCCATCGTATTGTGACACACAAGCAAATGTTACTAAAAGTATTGTATACTTTGATTGTATGATTTCGAAATTATTTTCTTTCTTGTTTATTTCATAGAGGTAACAAAGAAAGAATCTTCAAATGAAGACAACGAACTTCAAAAGCAAGCTAATGGGCATGAAAAGAAATGGCGAAGAATTTTGAAAGTAGTATTTTATTTATAGATACTTTATATGTTCTCTTTTTTGGAATGGTAGATAAATAGAAAAAGTGATAGTGATGATTCATCAGATCCAGAACAAGACGTAATAGTTAATACACAACCTAGAACTGATGTTGACGTTACATCTATAACAAATGACAAATGTTATTTATTTCCAGGCAAAGATTATGCAAATTATTACGAAAAAGATTTTGAAGCTCTTGAAAAATATGATGAAGGTGGTTTGCAAATATTTCTCTTGTTCTTATTCATTTTGAATACTTCATTGTTTTTGCATTTCAGACTATATTGATCGAAAAAGTGCACCACGATTACCTTGGCATGATGAGATATTAGTTGTTGCAGGTGAAGCTGCAAGAGATTGTGCAAGACATTTTATTCAACGCTGGAACATTCATAAGGTTATATTTTTGATTTAGAGAAAACATTTCTCTATTAATTTCTTCTTATTATTATTTAATTATTTAGAGAGATAACTATCGTCTTAATGAATCCTATCCATATCTTCTTCCAAAAACATATGACGATGCTGAATTAGTAGATACATCTTTACTTCGTTCAATACTTCCGGATAATCGACCTCCAATTTGTATTGATGCGCAATGTATTCGCTCTAGTTCTTATTGGTCATCTGGTATTCGTACTGTTGAACATTCATCTGAAAATGCTTATGTTGATATGATTAATAATGCTCAACATTTTATTTATATCGAAGTATGTTTTTTATTTTTTCGTTTTCGAAGTTTTAATATACTTCATTAAAAAAAAATAATAGAATCAATTTTTTATTACAATTGCTGATGATACAATAGTTAAAAATAAGATTGCTGATGCATTGTATCGACGTATCATTCGTGCATGTGTCGAGAAAGAAAAATTTCGTATATATGTTATTTTACCATTATTAGCTGCTTTTTCTGATACTAATTCTGTTCGAGCTGTATTTTATTTTATCATGAGATCAATCAATAAAGGTGAAATGTCACTCTATCAACGATTAAAACAAAATGGTAAAATTAGTAATATTAATTTATACAAATCTTTATTTGATATGATTGTAGGTGTACCTAGTCCTGAAGAATATATTACATTTTATGGTATGCGAAATTGGGATATATTGATGGGTAATTTAGTAAGTATTGATATTTTATTTCATATTGAATTTAATTAAATTTTTTGTTATATAGGTAACAGAAATAATATATGTACATGCAAAATTAATGATTGTTGATGATCAAATGTGTATTTGTGGATCAGCTAATCTAAATGATCGATCTCTTCTAGGTACTCGAGATTCAGAAGTTTGTTTAGTTGTTAATGATCTTGAAATGATCGATTCTCATTTAAATGGTCAAATGACAAAAGTAGGACGTTTCTGTTCAACATGGCGAAAAACATTATTCAGGTTTTTGACTTTCTTTTTATATTGATTTTATTTCGTTTATGTTTCTATCTCTTTACAGACATATATTGGGCATTAAAAATGAAGAGGAAATAAATGTTGATGATCCATGTACAGATGAATTTTATGAATATTTTCGTCGAATAGCAAAAAATAATACACAAATTTATGAAGAAGTATTTAATACAATACCTACTAATCAAGTACGACAATATGATGATATTGAAGCTTATTCTCAACGATCGAGTTTAAAAGATACTGATCCTCAAACAGTAACTATAGTTTTTTTAAGTAGATTTTCTTGAGATTCTCATACTTATTTTTTAGGCTTATAATAAATGCAAACAAATTCAAGGATATATTGTAGAATTTCCAATAGAATTTCTTACCGATGATGGTATTATGCCTAAATTGATTACATCACAAGGTTCGTATTTTTATTGTTTAATTACAACTTAATACTATTTTGAAAATTTAAAATTTATTTCTTTTCATTTCAGGTGTTGCACCAAGTTCATTGTGGACATAAACTAATAAAATTATTTTACATACTTTGATATACTTTTTTATACACGTTTCTCTTTCATTGTATAACATAAACTTTAATATCATAGTAAAAGTGTAGTCGCTGAATTTTATAATTTCTTCTATAAAAATATATTTATGAAAGTAAAAAGATATTTTAAACTAATTTTTAACGATCATATTTAGATATGAAGCAGCAACAGCAATATGTAATTTTGACTTGTAGTCTCTCTTGATCTGTTGTTTTATCATAATATAATAACAAAAGATTTCAATGTCAAAATTAATCGTTTAATAGGAAATATTCACGATATGTTATAAAATAAATATCATGTAGTTTTATTGGTTATATGTTATTAAATCGCAATAAATTGTATTTCATTCTTTTTGTCATAATTAGTCACCTTTTTTACGTTGTTTTACTATTCGATCTTATGGAATGCCTTCGTTCGATTTTGAACAAAAATGAATACAAAAGAAAGTCATTCAACCTTTGTTGGTTATAACCAAAAACACAATATTGATGTCCATTATATACCATTTTATAACAATAAAACTATATCAACAAAAATGTTGTGTACAGTCGTTATGTTTGTTCTATGATTTTGTAATTGACAACATTCTTCTTCGTTCTTCTTCTTTCAATAAGTAATTACAACACCGTGTGAAATCTATAATACAAAACAAACATTCAACGTATTTATTCCGAAGACAAAAAACAACACATCGTATAAGTCAACATAAAAGTTACACAACACACATTTAAGTAACAGTCTACAATGACAAATCAAACCATCGCTACCTTGTTCATGTTACCGGTGGAACTTGTCTACCGAATTCTAGATCACCAAACATACTTTACAATTCTATGCTCAATGAGAAAACGTATGTCAACGATTCAATAGCATCGTAGATACGTATCATAGATATCAGGTAAACTTAGATTATTTTTCATTATTACAATCTCTATTTAAATAGAATAACTTATAATTTCTTTGTTTCCAATCTCATGTAAAAATTTCACGTTTCAAATCAGGTATGATCTCATAAACATACAATGTTTGGATAAGAACGAAAAAATTAAAGGGACAAAATATTTTTATCGATTTTTTACGTGTATCTAAACACGTTTTTATCGACAGTTTTCCATCTAGACACTCATCAAACTGAATCTCGGAGGCAATGGAATCGGAGAGGATACCAGGCTTGAAATCATTGAATTTCTCGAACGCAATGGAAGAACAAGAACATCGTAATTGTTAATAGTTAATATGTTTTGATAGCTGATACATACCTACTAATTGGATATGCGGATATTGTTTTTGTAGTATAATCTTTATAAATACCGTAAATAAAATTACTTATATTTCAACTTAACTTAGATTGTAGTTTTGATCTTAATATGTAAAACGGATGAAATTTATAGTTGCATACATCTTAAAAGTGTAAATATGAATGTGGTATCTATCACCTCGCGACCTACTCACTTTTTATTGGTGGACAAATACTCTGATTCATCATTGAAGCAGGATAACAGAGTGGACGATCATCACATTGCGGATGTTAAATACAGACTGTATTGGATTGAAGACATGAATTGTCTGAAGAATTACACGGTACCAGACGAGAACATGTGGGCCACAGAAAACCACAAACACCAGTATCGTCATTTTCGCCTGGCATATGAAAACAGCCACACGCACTGTTTGTGGAGCACTCAGCATATTGAGCTTTTTTTCACATATCTGAGATTTGATTTGAACTATGAAAGTGATAAACTAATATATATAAACATATAAAATAGAATAGAAATCAAATCTGTTATACTAAAATATGAAATGAATTGATGTTAATAAAATTAATGATAAAAATCAATAGTTATTTACCTGAAAATAATGAAAACGATATAGCAATGAATCTTGATTGTAGTCATAGTTGATTTTAAAATAAGATAATATCATCAAAAAATGTATGCTTTTATTTCTAAAACACAGATGGTATCTTTAGTCAAATTTAATTGAAATATAACAGATGCATTTATTCACATATTAATAAATGGAAATTTAATATTCTTTTCATTACTTCTAATCTTTTCGATTCTATTCTATGAAAAATACAATAAAAATGGAATTAACAAACGAATCAAAAGAGAAATTTAGAAAATTAAAATGATGTTTGAAAGTTGATCAGTTTCACATACAGAAGACATGATAACATTCTTAATATACAAATGAATTATAATATCGCATTTTAATGCTCGAAACACCTTGAGACTTTATTAAAGTAATAGACTAGTGGAATCGTTTATTCAAAAAAAAATATTCAATACAAGAATATGATTATATATAAATTGGATGTGCTATATGTAAACTATTAAAATTATGTTTCATGTCTCTTATGAATATTAATGTAGTTTTGTCACTATTTATTTACGTTTTTCTTCAAAATAAACTAGTGGATGAGAAGGACTATGTGATAGATGTTATCCTTGATGGTGGATGAGTGTGGGTGTAGTTATTACATACATCCCATACCCATACCCTCAAAATGAAACAATACAAGAATTATAGTCGAATAAAATTTGAAATATCACGATCATCAGTAACAGATGTTCGTCATACTGAAACACCTAAATCAAATTTATCCATTCAAAATACTAATAAACAATATCGTGATTACAAAAAAGAAACAACACGTGCATCACCTTATTAATGTAAATAAAGTATAAGATAAAAATAAATCAATCCAATCAGTGCAAAATGGTAAATAACAAGTAGTATTATTATTAACAAAAAGTTCTCAATATTTTCTCAACTTGAAATAATAATTTTATCTACACATTCAAAATTTTACACTATTATTGAAGAATGTTGTTTTTTTTGTATTGAAATCAAACCCTATGATCTGATGAGATATTATAGAATAGATTATTCAGTATAAATTGGTCACGTTTTTTTTTTATTAGTTCGATGTTTTTACTCTAAAATACTGAGAACTGTATATATTAAATTATGATAGGGTATTTTTGAGTATACGCGTAATGAGTGAGGATAAAAAAAGAAACATAATTTGAGAGGAAAAAAACATATTCATGTGAAAAATACCCTTGAGGTTCGATAAAAATGATATTTAGGCATAGTAAAGAAAATGATATACGTATTAATGACGTTTTATGTGTTTCAGTTGATTGATTCGTGTGCGTCATACGTTGAGTATTTAATCGTGAGAAATTTTCATAGTTAGATATTATATTTTCTTCTATTCAAATCAATTCAAGATACAATTAAAATGAGTGCACAACGATTCGATACACAATTTGATCGTGCTGATGTTAATCATGATGGAGGAGTCGATGAACAAGAATTTCGACAATTTCTTGGTCCCGTTCGAGATGAAAGAAGATTATCTGGAAATTTATCAACTCAAGATGTTCAACATTTTACTGTGAGTTGTCTAGTTATTCGAAAATTGTTTTGAAATTTTATTTTAAATAGGCTCATTCATCACAAGATGGTGAAATAATAACATATCCAGTAGGTCTTGATGTAGCTGTAGCTGGTTTTGCACCAGAAAATCCAATTTCATATGAAAAATTTACAGCAGGTGCTGCTGCAAATGAAGAACATAAATATGGTCTTGGTCCTGATGTTGGTATTGGTGCACCAGATGTTGCTAGAAAAAGTAATCATTATGATCCAGCTGGAGCTATGTTTAATTATGCTGATGTTAATCATGATGGAAGAATTGACAAACAAGAATTTGGTTCATTTATGAAATCCGTTTAAATTTCTTTTTTTGTCTTTCTTTTTTCATTGATTAATTCGGTATTGTGTTTAAATGTTTTTTTTATAATTATACAAGTGAGACTTTTTTAGTTTTAATAAATGTACATTAACGAAATTATTCTATCTTATATTTTTCATGAGATATTTTCAATATAATTATCGAAAAAAAATCATTTGAGCTACGATTTAAAAAGAAGTGATATTTATTATGTAAGATAATATTTTAATGTGGTTTCGTGACTCATCGAAGTATGACTCATCACATTTCCGAGGACATAATTATTTTTTATACAAATATATCAAATATTTTTGACGCATTTGCAGTGCAATGAAAGAAAATCATCATCGCCTAAGACCGTTGTTTTATAATGAAGTAATCCGTTGATGAAAATAAAAGACAAATTGTATTATAAAATTTCTTTTAACGCATAACTTATAAATACAGACATCTTATAAACTTCAGGTAGTATATTTAATAGTTCATAATAAAAGGTTTGCTTCTGTCATCCAGATACAGAAAAATTTGAATAAAATATTGAGCATCTCAATAAATAGTTATAGATATATATTGAATTCAATTTGTCTTTGAAGTAGAATGTTAATAGTACAGGTCATCATAACGAACGGCGATGAACTATCGATGAGTAGGCATCATTGATATTTGATGTATTTCATCTTGAGCCTTAGTAAAACCAATTCGATTTTGATGCCGATGTTGTCGAATAATCTTGAAAAATTCTTTTCGAAAAGCAGTACCCGTTAGTGTATATAAATAAAAACTGGTCGAATGAGCAAATTGTGTTAACATACTAGCAATTTCATAAGCCAAATTTTCTTTAGCAAGTCGTAGAGAATCCTTAGGTATACTAATGGTAAATGATGCATAGAGTCGATATATAGAAAATGGTAAAGTAGAAATTACAATTACCAATACTTGAAACGCTAACATACGTGAGAGTTGAGTATCCGTACGTCGAATAGTATGATTATTCTGAGGAACCATTGGAATAACTTTACGATGTTGACGCAAATTGTTGAGTGTTAGACAACCAAATAGAAGCATCAATAAAGATGGACAGAGTGAATATAAAATCATAGCCCAAAATGCAATGAAAGTACGATAGATACCCTTTTGACCATAACATGCAGGTGTCAAATTACCAAATTGATCATATACATAGCTTATGTTATAGAAAATCAACATGTGACTGTATAAAATGATGATCGCAATGATGATGATTCCTATAGCAATTTTTGCTATTTTATATGAGCTAATTTGACGAATATTTATTGTTGCTGAACTCTTGAAATATCGATCAGCACACGCGAAAGCAATCAACCAGCATGGTATTGTTCGTGCAATATAGAAAGTAAAAAGTTCTGTTTTACATATTACTAAATTGAAATTAGCCAAGTCCATATTGAAACCTTCAGAGACAATGCGCACAGGCACGATTACAAATATAAAAAATAGATTAAAAAATGTTGAAAATAAAAAATAGAGGGAGCATGGTTCACCACGTAGACTTGGTCGTGTAAAAATAAGAACATTGAATATGAGACCAATTCCACCGAATATAAAATTGATTATTGATATAAAAAGGACGATTGTTGTCACGGCTGTATTTATTTGATGGATTGTAACGTCAACAGATGACATAATAGAAATACAAATATCGAATTTGTTTAGTATGAATTTGTTAATAGAATCTAAATGTAAGAAATCAAATATCGATGTAATAGAATAGCAGATAAAAACTACTATGAAATTATTAGAAAAATCTTTTAAGGATTTCTTGCTTCTTACGAGACCTGACATCTCTTCTACTTTTTTTCTGTTCTTTTCATTTTTTTTGCTTCGTTTAATATTCCCCTAGTCTATGCTTCTTCTTTAGAAAATGAAACTGATTCTTTTAAATTCAGTTGAAATAAAAAGATCATATAGATTTAAATCGAATAAATATAATAATCATATCGCGAAACTCTTTTTTCTTGATTTTGAACAATAAATCTTAGATTTCTATATAAAAATTGTTTATTGCAACATTTAATTAAAACTTAAATATAGTTTTGTGTGAAAAATATTCTATTTCTATTTCTTGTGACAGTATCAAAGGTGACAGGTTTGCTTCTCATAGTCATGAAAAAAACAAAAAAATAACATTGATTGAGTTTGTTATTTTATCAACCGAGCGAAAACTTGTCTTTGAAAATATAATAGTTGATTAACTATTCTGATATAATAGATGTATTTTGGAACATCTTTTTTTCTACGTAAAAATATTTACCTCTATTAAAATAAACACATGAAAATCGAAGTAGTTGATATTAGTTTTAAAAATAAAGAAATAGTCATCTAACTCGAGTATGGAGCTGACTAAAATGTAAAAAAAGAAAAATATATACGTGTCTAATAGACTTTATGTAATAAATGATGATACTGCAAGGTAAATGAAAAAGGATATAATATAAATTGCTCTAAAATAAGAGCATGTCTTTCATATAGAATGGGAAGTACGTCAAAGTCCTTGATGCATAATAATTTAATTAAAACAAAAACTATAGTTGATGTTTTTTAATTTTAATTTTATGCATTATTTGTTTATTAAATTTAGAAAAAGAATATTGTCTAAAGCTGCGTTTAAATGCGTTTTAATTTTATGTTGTGACAAATATGTTTTCATACGTTTAAATGAGCAAACGCGTTTAAGATACGGATGTTTTTCCATCTAGAAATCACGCGAATGTTATAAAATAGAAAAGTAAAATATCATGTAGTCAACTTTTGAAATAAATACAATTATATTATTTGAAATGAAAACAATATTTAGATGCATTTTATTTGATCAGATCAAGAGAAATATAATTTCACAAGGAATCCGTTGAAGGAAACTTCCTGAAAATTTGTACTGTTTTTTTTCTGCTTTTAAAAAAATTCAGAATATTCGAGACCATGAATGTAGATATGAATATAGAATGAAGGATCTCATTGAGTTCAGCCTTTCTTGTGAAGTTTTTTATTTTTCACAAATAAAGAAGGATATGGGTGTGAGAAGGAGGATAAGTACGGATGTGTTCTCAAAGAAAGCTTTTAATGAAATGCTAGAATAGTGATATTCTACAATAATTGTATTCTCAAACTTCAATATAAAAGACGAAAACTGATTCTTAATCGTAATACTTCAACAGTAATTATTGATCATTTTCTTCGTCAAGGCGATATGAATTTACTTACAAAAAAATTTAATGTTCTCTGGATTAATATTGTTGATGATTCGAATAAAAATATCGCGCAACATTTTCATAAAACAAATGTTTTTTTTTCTTTATGTTAAAAGAAAAATGAGAAAGTATTAGTTCATCGTCATGTGAGGAGTTCTCGATTATCTTCAATTATTTTTGCTTAATTTAATTAAATAAGATTTTTATTTGATAAATGATTTCGTAATGTGTTCTTCAAGATATTATCATGAAACTTTATCTAATGCTTTTGATCATTTACTTAATCGACATCTATTTGCTACACCTAATTCTGTTTCGAAAAAAAAGATAATTTCAACTTTGTCTTGGGGATATCCTTTGACAACTGTTTATACGTTCGGATGTATGGACATATATCAGTTAAATATTGTTTAATCAGTCACATCATCAATGTGGCATTGAATATCATTTTTTTGTTGTTTCAAAAATCGACGTATACATATCTGTCAAACGGCTGAAAAAAACACTGAGCATCTGTTCAATATTATTCTAGTTTTAATTTAACATCTGCACATCGGTGGTTTTTTTCTTTTTTCTGTTAGGAAAACTTTTGTCGTTGAATACATAAAGAATTGAATGGTAGATCGTATGGAGAAAAAGAGGAGGATAGACTTGTTTTTCCAAGAAATAGAGAGAATTTTTCATACAGATATTAGTCTTATTTATATAACGTAGCAAAAATTTCTGTTGCATTTATATAATAAAAATAATAATTCATTCATTTGTATTGAGAAGGTAAGATTGTTCGACAATTATTTTTCAAAATATCATATAGAAATAAATAACATCTGTTTAAAAAGCTATTTTAACAAGAATAATAAATATCGATACCCATCCGACGCTGTCTGCTTGATTGTTTTTCCATTTTTGGGTGAAATGTAAATTGAATATACTATATTTTTTCATTTATTTTTTTTTAAACTGTATCTTTTCTCTTTTTTCTACACACATTTTAAGTACAATGTGACGATCTTGAAGGTGTGGATGTGAGTGTAGATTAAGCGAAGATGGATATACTAATTTGCATCTGTTAATTTTATTTGTAGAACTGCAATTAAAAATATGGTTGACGTTGAAACGGCAGCTAATACAGCGTCGTTTCTTATTTGGCACTGCCTCTTGTTCTTCTTTGTTCTTGGTATAATTGGTCATCTACTTAGTTTCTACGTGCTCACTCGACGTAAGCTTCGTTCGAATCCATGTACTGTCTATTTTCTTGCAGCAACTGCGGCCAGCTGTATTGTGGTATTGATTATGCTTCCTTTGCGTGTACTACAAAATGCTTATAATATTGATCCAGCTGATTATTCTAAACCTATCTGCAAAATAGAATACTATATTAATAATACGACCAGGTAAGGATAATTAAATCGTATCTACAAATAATATGTCGACATAGTGGGCTTCATTCAATTCCGTTCGAAAATCATATTTTGAGGTTATCAATGTGGATGTAATTTCATCAAACTGTTTCTATTCTGACAGAAGAGTAGAACTAAGAGTAGAATTAGTTTCCGATTTCATCGAATAGTATTAAAAATATCATCATTAAAGTTGTCTGTGTTTGGTAACCTCTAGGAGAGTAATTTTATATTGTTCTTTTCGATGAATTGTATGTATCTTTATAGAGCTATGGCTTCTTGGTTTCTGAGTTTGGCTTTTATGGATCGATACTTCTGCAGTTCAAACAATGTCCGCTTGCGTCGCTACAGTAGTGTACGCATGGCTCGAATTATTATAATATTTTTCACTTTGATCATGTTCCTAATTCATATTCATGTGGCTGTCTACAATATCGTTGGTACTGGCCGTACCCCCATACCTTTCAATCAAGTGTCACCAATATGTACTATAGCAAGTGGTTTTTATACAACCTTTAGTCTCTATTGGTTTCTCATTGTCTATGCTTTATGTCCACCTGTTCTCATGCTCATTTTTGGTTCACTTACTTTATCCAATATTCATAAACATCGTCGACAAATTCGACCTAATTTATCTGAAATTAATAATCGCAAGAGAGAGAAAATTTCGAGACAAATGTTAATCATGCTCATTGTACAATGTACTTTCATAACTATTTGTACCATACCATTAGCTTTACAACGTATTTACGGCAGCAATACGTCTTCACAACAAAAGAGTATAACACAGAAAACATTGGATCAATTATTTCTTACTATTGCTGTTTCGCTTGGCTTAGTTGGACATTCACTTACCTTCTATATCTTCACTCTTTCTGGAGCTATGTTTCGAGATGAAGTAAAAAAATTAATTATGAAAATTCCAGGATGTAGACGAATCTTTACTGCAACGGGTACACAAGTAAAAACCAACAGGATACCGCCAGTTCCACTTGAACGTAGAAATGTGTGAATATTACGAAAGTATCAAACAGCTAAAGTAGTAGATGCACCTATTAATGAATGATTCTAATAAATAACATTTCTTATCTAAATATTTAAAATAGATGTTGTAATGTATCTGTTGTCATGTCATGTAAACTCATCATTTTACATGCTAAAAAAGGCTATAGGTGTGTGTGAGAGTGAGTACACTATGTTCATCTCTTACTCACACCCACACCCATCCTCAAGATGATGGTCAGCAGAATAAATAAATGATCAGTATTATATCTAATTGATCAGTTATTAAAATAATTAGGATTAATCAATATGTTTCAAAATTAACGAATTAAATTGAATGGTTAGCATAGAAATCGATGTGTTAAAGTGTGATTCACTTCCTTTTCTTTTCTTCCCTTACGTCATATAAATGACAAATATAATACACATATATATCTTTTCTTTTTCTTGCTTTTCTTCGTATTAGGATATTTTTCAAAAATTTTTTTTCTCTTGATATGGGTCAGATATTTTCCCTTGTTATGACGGTTTCTTCCAAGTATCGTTGATTCACCCCTAAATTGTTCGTATATATATAGTTATCTTTTAGAATGTGTGTGGATAAGAAAAAGACATTCACACCCACCTTAGTTAGAAATTGTGTAAACCACTACCAGCAGCAAAAATAGTGTTGATTGATGAGAAACAGAAAGAGGTAAGCCAGCAATAATCAAATCTGCTTTGCTAGTTCAATTGGTGAGTTTTCCTTTGTCTCCATTTAATTTCTTCTGCTGACATTTATGGATAGAAAGCCGACCATTTTAGTGCTGATCAAAAATTATGTTTCCTTAATATTTTATAGATTAAAACCATGCAGTTAGTAATTCAATAGTGACGGTTCTGAGAGTGAGTGTTATGATCATATTTTACTCACATCCAGTCTGTTCAATTTTAGATAAAGATTGATGTTATATTAGTTTTATTCTCATCATGACTTATATTATTTGTTATTTCTTTTTTCTATCAAATATATCCCGCATTGAATATATAAACTATATAGATAATGATAGTGTGCGTTTTACCTTGTCACGTTGTTTTCTTTTTCTATCAATTGAAGCAGAATATGACTCATTATTTCTTATTTTTTGTTACGATTACTTTCATTTTAATCATTTCAAATGATTCCTTATCATCAATTATTTTCATTCCAGGAAGTTTTTGTAGTTTATTTGAAGTACGCATAAATACAACTTTAGAACCAAGTTGTCCTCAATCATTCGATAATGAATGGATTATTTCTTGATGGTATTCTTTGGAAATATATGTTCAATTGAATAAATTTCTTTTTCATTTTGTTACAAAATATAAATATATAGATGGTCAAAATATGCATTCAATACCATATGATTTTCGACGTGATCAAACAAATAAAAGTGTTTATTTAATTGGTCATAGTACAGGTGGTTCAATGGTTTTGTATTTTCTTTTTCAACAAACCAGGATGTGGGTGTGGCGTGATTTCATCTTGTATTTATCCACACTCACCCATAGTTAGATTAGAAATATGTTTTCTAATGGTATTATTTAAAAAAAATTCTAATATTAATATTGATGAAAAACAGGAACATATATTCCATCCTTATTTCGGCAATTTCAGATCTGTAATCTTTTTATTTCGTGTATATCTGTAAACGTTGATATCGGTCACATCTTTCTCGAAATTATAATACATAACGTAAACAGATTCTCTACTTTGATCAATATTCATAATGGCAAGATCGAATCAATGCTCTACTTGTCAAAAATCAATGGGAGTAGTGTATTGCACAGGTTGTGAAGGCTACTTCTGCACAAAAGACTTCAAAGGTCATCGTGAAATATTATCTACTGAGATGGAAGAACTCATTGAAGAACGTGATAAACTACAAGAGAAAATTAACAAAGCAACAAAAGGAAACAACGCAGACAATCCGCTTATTGAAGAAATCAATGTATGGGAGAAGGTTACAGTTGAAAAAGTACGACAAACAGCTGAACATGTGCGTCAGCAGGCTAATGAGCTGATGAATTCAAAGTGTATGAAAACTACAAATAAATTCAAAGATTTATCAGATGAGTTAGCTGATTTGAAAGAAACTGAAAACTATGTTGAACATGATTTAACGAGACTTCGACAAAAAGTTGATCAATTTAATGTAGACTTAACACAACTTTTTCAAGCAACTAAACTTGAACTTAATAAAGAAGAAAATGAAAAAATAAAATGGAATCGTATTATCTATGTTCAAGAAAAATCTGTTGAAGTTGAATGCCAACAAACATCAACAAAAATAAAAGGTATGTCGCGAACGTCCAATTTAAATCAATTTTCTGTATAATATTTTTCGAAAAACATTGACTTGAAATGCAGAGAATATAGATCATAGTTCGTACAGTGATAATAAAATTGGCAAGAAACTTTTGTTGATCATCTAAAATATGCACCAGAAAATGATTAACCCTTATATACATGTCTAAGATTTATTTCTCTTTAATAATCGTTTTGCATATTGCACAGAACAGAATAAGAATAACTTGCTCAGTATATATACTAAAGATCGCTACATCTATAGTTCATCAAAATAACAAATAAGGTTTAGATCGATTAGGTTCATTCCTATCAAAATCTTTGTCACATATAAATTGATAACATCTGTAATTAGAATTACAAGTAGACGATTTTATAAATTATTACGCTTTTATATCAACTATAAAACATTATTTCTTTGATCTTGACATCTTTTTGTTCTACTAACTTAGTTACTTAGTTGTAAGCGAATTTATAAAGAAAATATGTAGTTTTTGAGTAGAGTAATAAGCAGTCTTGTTGTATGTGTGAAATGTTAAAAACTAATATATATTTTCATTTAGAAAGTCCACAGGCAACTGAATTACTTCCTCAAAGGGAACTTCGTTGTCGTGGTCGAACTTGTGCACAATGTGGTAAATGTACTGATTGGTATTATGTCAAAAATAAGGAACGTTTTTTCATTTGTGATGATGCCACTTGCAGTCTTAATCCTCCCCCTCCTCCTACTCCTCTCGATCTTCCTAGTCTTACTCCTCATCCGGATCTTCTTCGTTTTGGTTTTCATATCTGCAAATGCAAGTAGGCTGCAGCACATGAGGATTGGGGACTGTCGTGTGATCATTCAATAGATTGAATATTATGATATTTATTCTGGATACTACAAAAATAAAGAAAGCAATTTTTATAACGTGGTTTTAATATCTAGATAAATCAACATTTGTAAGGAAGAGATAAAAAAGCACGTTGCTAATAGCATTTCGTTGTAATAACTCGCATTAGTTGCCGAACGAGATAGTAGATCGTGTGAAAGATGATGTAAAGTAACTATGTATAAGCTTAAATTGATGATTGTAGTTGTGGAGAAAAACCTCAAGCTGCCGATTTGTAGTTATGCCTTGTTCACTGATGCGGTAGTCTTGGGCCGGTAGGAATATGTATATAATAGAAGTGTTGTAATTTTAGTGATGTTTGCTAAAACGATGAGAAGCGTTTGAAAACTAAAAAAGTAGGAATAGTTGGTGAGTGTCAATATGACTATATGGATATGAATAGAGAAGGATGTGCTGTTTATCAATGGGAGTGTGGATGGATCAGAGGTGCAGAATCTTCCTCATGCGCCCCTGGCTGGGGGGGAAATTTTTTAAAAACTGCATTTTTCGGGGAAATTTTTGACAATTCTGGGGAAATTTTCGAAAAAATTTTTCCGGGGGCGGAAATTTTTGGTTTTTGGGAAGATTCTGCACCTCTGGGGTGGGTGTGAGTGTTAGATGAATACATTGTCCATATCTAAACTCACACCCACACCACCAAGAGTCATTAGATAATTTTCTTTCATCTTTCAGGAGTTTTTTTTATCATTGAGGGTGTGCGTGGGTGCGGAAGTGGATTATGTAGTTGTGAGTGAAGATGAGTTAGATTGGAAACACATTCATCTACCCACACCTTCATCCACACTCACACCTACCGTCAAGATTTTTGAAACGAATTAAATCATGCAGCAAATGAAAAACAACAAAAATCTTCTAACGATTATTCTAATTCGTTTCACAATATATTTTTGGTGTGTGTACGTCCGTACTTGTTATGTATTTTAACTTTTATGATAAAAGAAAACAAATTAATAAAGTTTTAATATTGTAACAGATTCTTTAAAAAAACAAACTTTATTGACCACCAATTATTTTATAAGATAAATAGTTTATTAAAATTAGTTAAGAATGTTTTGTATATAATGAAGGGTATGAGCGTGCGTAATACATACATCTCTCACCCACACCAACACCCTTAAAAGAAGAAAAAAAAAGTGAAATATCACAAAAAAGATATTATTGATTTTGTTTATTTTACTTAAACAGTACAATAACGCATATCATTGAAATTGTTGGGTGGATTAATGAGATCATACACATAAAAGGAATCACAATTAGTTACCAATATTGTATTGTAATAAGTACATGGTGATGAATTGTCTGTATAACACATTATGCCACTAACAGTATTACTAAACGAAGGCAATGCTCCTGCGTACCAACCATTATAAGTTGAACCACAGTGATATCCGCCCGTTGGTGATGTTGCTATTTGAGTCCCACCTGCACCAAAGAAGCGAACCAAAGTGCTGGTTGAAAACAGTCCATAATCGGTTGCACTTCCACTTCCGGCTGTTATCAACCGTGTTGTATCATTGATGATCATGTACGAATAACATTGTGGTGGTAAGAACGTCGTTGTCGTACTTGTTGTACTAGCTAAATATAAAGTTTTGTATTTAAAGTAAATGAAATAAATAATATTCTCTTTCAAATTAGAGACAAAAGCTCTTAATACAATTCCTACCGGATTAAAATGTAAAACATGAGGAGCTTTCGTATATTTTAATTTAAAAATTATGTATCATATGTTTCGATTTGTTAATTCTATATACAATACTGCTAATGTACGTCCCAGATGAAAGATTCGAATGCTGATACATTATAGAAAAGTTCAAAGGGAGTCAAAAATAAGTTTCTTAAACTCGTTTGACTTTAGCTTTGTAACTATTTCTATTACGGTGTGGAGATGAGGGATATATCCAAATTTCTACTTCTGTACTTCAGCACTCCTCCGAAGTCATATTTTATGCAAATAAACGGGATCGTATTACAACTAGTCATATAATTTAACCGTTATATTTTTTAATTTTTCAGCACTTTCGTTTTTGAAATATAAAAAAAGCATTTAAACCGATATCCTAATTTTCAAAAATAATAAGAATATTTTTACTTGTCACTGTTGTTGATGCTACCGTTGTTTTATTTATATAAACCAAGGCATAAATACCCATTACTACACATGCCAGAACACCAAGAATAAGTAAAACTCCAAATGAAATTAATAAAACTTTGAAATATTTCTTGTTATTATTTTTATTGTTGTTGGTAGTCGTCATACTGAAAGTTTTGTAATCAAAAATTATAAGCAACAAAGATCTTGAGATATTTTTACTCACTTGGATGATGATTCAACGTTCGCAGAGCAATTTGATGGGATACCTAATGAATCTTGCTGTTCATGATTTGGCGGTAATTGTTTTATATTTTTCGGATGTTGTTGTTTCGTATTACTGATCGG